AAGCGGTATATAAGTCTAAGTGCTATTGCTATTGCTGGAAGGCTGAGTCAACCTTGAGCCTGGTGAGATCTGAACGGCCAAATTGCTGTCAGCCAGCAAACAGTAGCATCTTGCAGTACTGCACTCAAACCACTGTGCCACCAAGGCTCTAAATAACTATCTTTCTCATTCTAAGTTCCTATTTTAACCGTGTTTCTGGGTGCGCCAGTGGAAACAGTGGCCTAACCGCCTCAAGGTTGACTCTCCTTGATTTATTAGAGCCATGGGGGCTCAGTGGTTAGAATGCAGCTTTGTAGGCTAACTCTTGTCACTGCCAGGAGTTCGATCCTGACCACCTCAAGGTTGACTCAGGCTTCCATCCTTCCGAGGTAGGTAAAATGAGGACTCGGATTGTTGGGGGCAATTGGTTGACTCTGTAAACCACTTAGAGCGTAAGTGTAAAGCACTCTGAAGTGGTATGTAAGTCTAAGTGCAATTGCTTGATCAATTCTACTTTTTTATTTTATTTACCTCCCACCTTCGGGTGGCTACCAAGAATTCCTAACAGCTTTTCCCTAACAAATAGCAATAGAAAGTACACGGATTGCTCTTGGCACAGCCATTTCTTTATTCAGGAGGAGGGACTGCTATCATCTATTTTGATTGGAAAGAATGTTAGAGGTGAAATTCTGAGAGGAAAGAAGGGTCACCTCTCACGGGAATGCAGGAAGCACCAAGGATCAGAATTGCACGCTCATTTAGAATCTCTTCCTTGTTTAAATGAAAGACCCAAAATGGTGCTGAGCCATCGATAATAGGAAAATGTGACAACTGAACTGCTCCAATCTTATGCTGCCAAGAGAACCTGTAAGAACCTGATTTCCCTGTAAGTCTTCAACTTACAACAGTTTATTTAGTGACTGTTCAAAGTTGGATCAGCACTGAAAAAAGTGACTTATGACCATTTTTCACACTTATGATCGTTGTAGCATCCTTGTGGTCCTATGATCAAAATATAGATGTTTGGCAACTGGTTCATATTTATGATAATTGCAGTGTCTCGGGGTCCTGGGATCACCTTTTCAAATCTTCTGACAATCAATGGGGAAGCCAGATTCACTTATTAACCGGGTTACTAACTTTAACAACTTCAAATGATTCATTTAGCAATGGTGGCAAGAAAAGGTGGTAAAATGGGGCAAAACTCACTTAACAAATTTGTTATTTACATAAATTTTGAGCTCAATTGTAGCCATTCATCGAAGACTATCAGTATTTTGAATTAACAAAAGAAGGCCCTGCCATTCTTCATCTATCACGCTTGAAATCTGCCCATCCTCAGTGCACTGGGAGTCAGTTCCAAGTGATTCCTATAACTCACTGCAGACCCACAGGAGACACATATCTTCTTACATCCAAAGAATGAAAACAGTGGACGACTGTAACAGAATAATCCGCTAAGGCCAGTCAGCATGTTGCTCAAATAATAAATCAAGGAGAAAATAAATTATGTGGAACTTTGCAAAAAGCCCCAATTCTTAGTGCAAGGCAGAAGGTAACTAGAATAGAAAGACCTTTCCCTCAATCTAAGGATTGTTATAAGCTTTTTAGTTTGGCTACATTGCAGTGAATGTTGTTGAGTTGTTCCTCCAACTCAGCTTTCAGAACACCTTCCTCCATAGGAAAGTGAATTGTTCAATCAAGAATATAAAACACAATTATAATGCACCAACTCTGGTTATCCAAATGGAATAGTAGAGAATAAGTAGACTGCACTTAAGCAAAATTAAAGCCCTTCTCTACGGTGGTTATACTTTCCACTGAGAAATTCTCTCCTAAAACATAGTTAATTCTCCTCCTTTTATTTTCTCCCATCAATTACCAATTACTATCGGTCACTCCTGGGACAACCATTTCCAAATAATACAGAGGGATCTGTTGTCACAAATCCTTCTGTTTCAAGATAGGTTATGTGAGAATAGATTACCTTGTTTCTTACTCTTTCCATATCCGCTTCAGCAGTTTTGTCCTCAAGACTGTGGAGCAACAACACTACTTTCTGTTCTCTAGAAGCCACGTCTTCTTCCATCTCTTTCACCTGGGAATAGTGAATTATCCACTTATAAGTACCTCAAGGCAGTGAATATACATAATACTCCTTCTTCCTTGATTTTCCCACAATAATCCTGTGAGGTGAGTTGAACTGAGAGGTGACTGGCACAAAGTCATGCATTCAGCTTTCATGCCTAAGGTGGGGCTACAACTCACGGTCTCCTGGTTTTTAGCCCAGCACCTTAACCACTATACTAAATTGGCTCTTATTTTTAGGGTTTCAAGGTTGCCCAACTCCAAAGAGACTCTGGAGGATTTACAGTTTTTCAAAGTATACATAAGTCTAGGTACAATGCTACTTGAGTTTTATAATGTACTTCCAAGCATGTAAAGGCATGTGAAATCTTTTACATGCCTTATATATTTCACTCCTCACACATCTGCCACCAGACTATACAAACAAAGATGAATAAAACAATAAAACAGAAGAAACAATAAACCAAAATGCCAGATCGGCAATTTAAGGGGCATATTGTGAGCTCCAGTTCAAATAACACAGGAGCCAGTGAAAGCCAAAGGCACAGCTATGATCAAAACCTATCACATGAAAACAATTGTATAAATATGATTAGCCCATAATAGTTTTTAATAACTTCCCCCCTTCTGTAACGTTGAAACATACAGTTCTGTGATAACTTTTCAGAATATTTTGGGAAGCTTTGGGAGTCAAGAGGCTGTGCACTCTTGATTTAAACGTATTCTAATGCAGATAATGTAGGAGCTGAGGCTGAAATTGGCTTGCCTAGCAAGTCATGGTTTGGCTTGCCTAGTAAATCATGGTTAAAGGCAAAATCTATACATTTCTTGATTCAGGTTCGATCTCTTGGCCGCTAACCAGATTCAACTCATGAATTTTTCATATAACCTCATTAATTAAAACTAGCAAGATAAAGAGCCTTTCCACATAGTGTTAAGTACTTTTATTGCCCAAGGCAATTATAATTTTTCGTATCCACCATTCACATCTCATCAGAAAATCTAGGTGTTCAGCATTCTCTCCCCACCCTCCACCTCCACCAAAAACTTTCTCGACAAACCTAGAAATTCTACTTTACAGTGCTCAGGCTCCATTTGGGGTTTATTTCCCAATAAACACAATGGGAAGATCAGTATATTCATTTCATCAATTTAACCAGACAGCAATAGCACCTGGGACTTATATACCGCTTCACAGTGCTTTACAGTCTTCTCTAAACGGTTTACAGAGTCAGCATATTTCCCCCAACAATCTTGGCCCTCATTTTAACAACCTCAGAAGGAGGGAAGGCTGAGTCAACCTTGAGCCCCATCAGGATCGAACTCTTGGCAGTGGGCACTTAGCCTCTACAAAGCCTGATAAGTTAAGGAGTTCCCATTTGCAAAATGCACAATCGCTGGTGTTTTCTGTGTGTACTCCAATCCGCTCAAGCCCGCAGTCCCTGTTCATGGATAGACCATACCTTCTTCTCCAAACGTTTAGTGTCATCTCTATGGCTCAGCTCCTGTGACTTCAGCTGCACCAGGAGAGAAAATACTTTCTCCCGCCATCTGGTCAGCAGGCCCTGAAGTTTTTGAGATGACTCCGACCGGAGAGGGTCCTGGAGATGCACCTGAGAAGATAAAGCACAAACTCAGACATCCAACATCATCCCCTTCTGTTTGGAATGATTTCAGATACCAGGAAGGACAAGTGTACCATTGGTGACATATAGAAAAAAGCCAAAGACTTGTTCTCTTAAATGCTAGACTTTTCAGATGCAAGATAAAGCTTCCATTCAACAAAACTCAAAACCTATCCAGATATGAAAGCCCCTGGGAATCCATCAATTTTAGCAGGGCTACATCCCTTCCTCCAAAATTTTAATGTTTCGTGCAAGAAAGCTGCTCTTCCGGTTTCTGGAGTTCCTGCACGTGTGAAGACTGGCCGCCCCAAACCCACGAGAGCAACAAGCGACGGCTGGCGTGCCCAAAGAGATGGCTCTGCATGCCATTTCCGGCATGCATGGCATAGGTTCGCTATCACAAAACTAGACAATCGACAAAGTCCCCTCTAGCTCTTACATTCTTTTTTTTTTTTTAAGCAAGTTTTATTAATTTCAAAAAACAAACAAATCATCATCAACCATTACATATTTGAACCTTTTTCCATTATAGATTTAACAAGTCAGATAAAACCTTATCTTATACAATACATTTCTATATTATTTCATCTATTTCTTTCTGACTTGATTATCATCACTCTCTTTCTATGTTTCTACAAGGTTTCACCAATACTCTCAAAAACATAAACAAACACAAACATACATATAAAAAATCTTTTAGTAAAGTAACTTGGCCCCAGGTACCTCTCTTTATATGGGCTTTAATTATATTCATGCTCATCTTACAGATCATTACTTATTTTATTTACCATTCTGTATCTTCTATATAAACTTCTCCACACATTTCACTCTTCATAATTCTATCTTATTCAATCCATCTTAATTTAAATCATTATATTTGTATCTTTTGCCCATCCTTTATTATCCCTCTATCTCATTCCTTATAATGAAAAAAAAAAAAAAAATTCTCCTGAAATCACTAATCAGAGTATGATGCCTTTCTATCCTCTCCCTAAATTAATTAAATTAACATTTAAAATAACACCTAATACCCAATTTGATTCTGCTTGGTACATTCTATCTACTAATTTTTACTTTTAGTAACAATAAGAACAGAGTAAAAAATCAAAAATGTTTAAATACATAATATCTAGCTCTTACATTCTATGGCAGGGTGTCAAACTCAAGGCTTGGGGCCCAGATCTGGACCGGCCCGTGATGCCACTGTCAGTGAAAACTGAGCTCTGTTTCTTCCTGGCAGAGGGTTGCAGGAGGCAATCGCAGCTGAAAACGGAGCTCAGGAGCTCGTTTTTGCCAGCAGAGTGCTTGGGCCACCACAGACAGGGGTATCAAACTCACGGCCCACGGGATGCTTAAATCTGGCCCACGGTGCCAGCCTGGAAATAGCAAAGGACCGGCCCTCGATGCTTCTGGCAGCCAAAACAGAGCATGGGGGGGTGGGACTGCGTGTGGCATAGGGAGTGCACTTCCCCCCGCCGCCCCATTTTGGCCAGCAAGGTGCTCCAGGAGGTATCCATCCTGTCCCCCTCCCCCCCCCAAGCTGGCCCATGGAAGAGTATTACAATGCTGATCCGGCCCTCAATGAAATCCAGTTTGACAACCCTGCAGTACAGTATCCAGATCTTACATTGTGT